AGGGTGGGGTCGAGGCAGCACATGCGGCGCGGCGGATGAGGTCCTTGGCGTCGCTGGAGACGGACGGTCATGGCTGCGTGCGTGTGCGCTAAGGCAGATTCCGCAGCATTTGCTAGAGCGAGAGGTCGAAAGAGCAGCAGCAGCAGGCTACTCTCACAGCACTTGGTGGGTGGTGAGACGGCGGGCAGAAACTAGGCAGCAGCTCACAGACACAACCCATAATAGACTAAGAGAACGAAACATAAGCAGCAGCAGCAGCAGCAGCAGCAGCAGGTGACTCACAGAGCACTTGGTGGGCGGTCAGTCGGCGGGGGGGGTCGAGGCAGCAAGTGCGGCAGATGAGGCCTCCTTGGCGTCGCTGGAGATGGACGGCCATGGCTGAAAGAGCCAAGGCACCTTGCACCTCACTTCGCAGAGAGAGAGAGGACAAAGCAGCAGCAGCAGGTCACTTCACTCACAGAGCACTTGGTAGGCGGTGAGGCGGCGGGCGGGGTCGAGGCAGCACATGCGGCGGATGAGGTCCTTGGCGTCCGTGGAGATGGAAGGCCACGGCTGCTTGGTGAAGTCCAAGTGGCCCCGCAGCACCGCCTCAAAGATGCCCTGCTCCGTCTCTGATGGCAGGGAGAGCGGAGGGGGAGGGGGAGTGATGGGAAGAAGGGACTGGCATTGAGGTTTCTCAATGATGAGCGCCCAGGGCTGGGGCGAAGTCCAGGTGGCCCTGCAGCACCGTCGTCTCGAAGATGCCCTGCTCAGTCTCTGGAAAGGAGGAGGGGGGGAGGAGGGGAGTAAGGAGTCACAGAATGGTCGCTGTGTAACATTGGACATGGGCGGCCATGGCTGCTTCGTGAAGCCCAGGTGGCCTCGTAGCACCGCTTCGAAGATGCCCTTCTCTGTGTTGCAGCATGCGATGACGTGGATGTGATGGTAGAGCTTGTGCTTGTATCCATATGTTGCATGGCTAGTGGCATAGAGAGACCCCATGCGTCCCACCCACCCACCCACCTGCCCAGAAGGGCGGCACGCCCAAGAGCAGCATGTAGAGGATCACGCCCATGCTCCAGATGTCCGCCTCCTTGCTGTAGCACGTGGTGGTGTGTGTGGGTGTGTTATCATGCATGGCTAGTGACCTAGAACCACCCCATGCGTCCTCTCCCTCACCTGCCCAGAACGGCGGCACGCCCGAGAGCAGGATATAGAGGATGACCCCCATGCTCCAGATGTCCGCCTCCTTGCTGTAGCGCCGTCGCAGCACCTCCGGCGCCACGTAGTAGGGGCTGCCCACCACGTCCGATAGGGGCTCGCCTGGGGGGGAGAGGAGGAGGGAGAGGGGGACGGGTAAAGCAGTTGAGTCAAGAAGCACCTCTGGCGCCACATGGTAGGGGCTGCCCACCACGTCCGATAGGGGCTCGCCTGGGAGGCGAGGGGAGGAGGGGGGGACGGGGGGGGGAATGGGACGGGAGTGAGAGGGGGCTCCTTGCTGTAGCGCCATCTCGAGACTTCCGGTGCAACATAGTAGGAGCTGCCCACCACGTCCGATAGGGGCTCGCCTGGGACGAAATGAGATGACGGGAATGTGGGGGGTGACGAGCGGGAGCCTGGAGGGTAGGTGGCTTTTTTAGGCGCCTAAAAAATCGACGAAATGAGATGACGGGGATGTGGGAGGTGACGAGCGGGAGGGTGGGTGGGGGCAGGGAGGAAACATGAGTGAGGGAGGGAGGTGCGGAAGGAGGGGGGAGAGATGGAGGGAGGGAGGAGGGAGGGAGGGAGGACCGGAGGGACGGAGGGATGTATGTGCGTGGAAAGTTGGCAAATATTGTTTGAACCCTTGTTTCATGGATTTTACGAGAATTACACCCCTATCAGCTCTGGTAGCATCAAGTTGTCAATCCCAGTGGTCATAGTGCCTTCCCCACCACACCAACGGCACTCGGCCGGCCCCACCACCGACAGTACAAAACCAGATCGCTGCCAGATTGATGCCAGATTGATGCCGTCAATGGTACATAGCGCGTGAATAAAAAGGTCTGATAGTGGTTTCGTTTTGAGCCGACTCCAGACGAAGCTACTATCGCCATGATGCCATCAAAGACACACAGAACGTGCATAGATGGGTTTCCCCACCACAAGCAGCACTCAGCCCCCCACCACTACCAGCAAAACCACAAGCAGCACTCAGCCCCCCGCCACTACAAGCAGCACTCAGCCCCCCACCACTACCAGCAACACCACAAGCAGCACTCAGCCCCCCACCACTACCAGCAACACCACAAGCAGCACTCAGCCCCCCGCCACTACAAGCAGCACTCAGCCCCCCACCACTACCAGCAACACCACAAGCAGCACTCAGCCCCCCACCACTACCAGCAACACCACAAGCAGCACTCAGCCCCCCACCACTACCAGCAACACCACAAGCAGCGCTCAGCCCCCCACCACTACCAGCAACACCACAAGCAGCACTCAGGCCCCCACCACTACCAGCAGCACCACAAGCAGCGATCAACCCCCCACCACTACCAGCAACAACACAAGCAGCGCTCAGCCCCCCACCGCTACCAGCAACACCACAAGCAGCACTCAGGCCCCCACCACTACCAGCAACACCACAAGCAGCGCTTAGCCCCCCACCGCTACCAGCAACACCACAAGCAGCACTCAGCCCCGACCCACCAGCGACAGCACAATAGCAGTCAGAACCCCCCCACCACACCAGCAACAGCACAACAGCAAACCAGCACAACAGCACTCAGAACCCACCTTGCTTGAAGAAGGTGGAGAGGCCGAAGTCCGTGGCCTTGATGTCTTTCGACTGCACCGCACTGCACCAAACCACAACGCACTCAGACCCACCTGGTTTGAAGAAGGTGGAGAGGCCGAAGTCTGTGGCCTTTAGGTCGGCATTCTCCGTCCGGTCTGCCAGCAGGAAGTTTTCGGGCTTTAAGTCGCGGTGCACCACGCCAAGCGAGTGGCACGCCTCCACTATTCGCGCTATAGTGCGAATGGACGTAGCAGCCTGACGCTCGCTGGTGGGAGTAATGTGCCCAAAGGGGGGATGGGAGCGGGGGCAGAGAGAGGGGGGGGGGAGAGGGGAGGAGAGAAAAAGGGGAGAGGGGGGAGGAAGGGGGGGGGGGGGAAGAGGGGGGAGGGAAAGGAATTATTTTGACGGCTCCTTAGTTTCGTCATGCAATAAATAAGTAGACCACCAATTCTACTCTCAGCGCCAGCTGGGCTACTACTGAACTGAACCACGTACGCTTCCTCGAATCATCACCTGATACACCACCGTACGCTTCGTACGTACGTACGTACGCACCTGAAATACCCTCGTTTGATGATCCGGTCAAAAAGTTCCCCTCCCGAGCAGAGCTCCATGACGATGTGAACCGCGTACGCGTCTTCGTACGCCCCTTTAATGCACACGATGTTCTTGTGACCCGCCAGGTGGTGCATGATCGCGACTTCGCGCTTCACGTCCGCCACGTCCTCCGCGGAGATTAATTTCTTCTTCGCGATCGTCTTGCACGCGTACTCCTTGCCCGTCGCGAGCTCCGTGCATAAATAGGTGACTCCGAACTGCCCCTGACCTAATTTTCCGCCGATCTTGTAAAGCGATTCGAGCTTCTCTGAAATGGAATTGGGAGGGAGGGAGGGAGGAGACGAATTTTAGTCGACTCAGAAGTCGTCTTGCACGCGTACGGTTGCCCGTCGCGAGCTCCGTGCATAAATATGTCACGCCGAATTGGCCCTGACCTAATTTCCCGCCGATCTTGTAGAGAGACTCGAGTTTCTCTAAAATGGGATCAGGAGGGTAGGTTGAAATGCGAAACGTAGCAGCGGAGAGTGAGAAGAGTGAGGGGATAGGAGGGACGTAGGAGGATGGGGTGCGATCGAAAGTGGGTGCGATCGAAAGTGGGTGCGATCGAAAACAGGAACGATCGTCAGTTGAACGAATGTGCGGTAAGAGGGTGGAGGAGAACGCTCTTTGAGACGTCCCACAACACTTATATACCGCGGAGGACGTTCACCTGTTGGTCGTCCGAGCACGGACGCGGTGAGCACGCGGCCGGGCGATACGAACTGGTCGAACCACACGCGCCTGGCGGAGAGCGACTGCGGCATGGCGGACGCCATGGCGGCCGACAATGGCGGAGTGATCTAATGGCGTGATAAATAGCCGCGGACGGAACAGCGCAGTTTAAGGCGCCTCGCACCCAACGGCGGACAGAGTGCAGGCGAGAACTACCAGCTGCAGGCACAGCCGCACAGGGCTCCGAGCTTGGAAACCCGAGCCTGAAAATCCGAACCTGAAAGCACCTCCGAACCAGCGAGAACGTTTCGCCGCTCACTGATTCCGCACGCACAGTGCTAGTAAGGTTAGGCTACGGAGGGTCACAGGACATCCCCCTAGTGGTGCGGCGAATTTATGAGTAAACCTAAGCAAACCGTCAGTCGGACAACTCAGTGAGGACGGTCAAGCAACCGAGGTCAGAGACAACAATTAGGCCGGCAAGCAATTTATTCGGCTCAAATGAGACTGTCTGCAGTGACTCAACCAGTGGTTGCTGTTTAGCTGATCCAGCAAGAGCGGGAAACGGTGAAGCTTGAATAACTAGAGTGAGGAATCATGAGTGCAGTGATGAGTGCAAGTGCAGTGCAGGCAAGAGCAGCTCTGCTGCAGCTTTGTCGCTTGGCAATCCCAAGGGAAGCTCAACGGAAGCCCCAAGGGCAGGAGGGAGGTTCAAGGGACGAAACGAGTGGGGCCGGCCTGTGCGATATTCGCCGTTCGTGCCGAGTGATCTAACGGCTTCGTCGCTGCCCTCGTGCGCGGCAATTTTGCCCTCGCCGTAACGCCCAGCTCCTGCTTGTACCGAGGACGTCACGCTGCCCTTTGACCAAGCGCCACAAGAGCGTTCAAGGGAAAACGTTTATTTCGTGGTTTTGTGGGTTCAGTGAGATAAAATGAGGTAGAGCAACACGGATGTTACTAGCTCAGAGCCCCCCATAAAGCACAATATACAATATGCTATACAACTACAACAGCATCGATGAGTACAGCTTGTTGTACCCCTCCACTAGAATCGTGGCCCCTAAGTCCCTTAGTACTGCCACGCATTTCTGCCAAATTTGCCCACCCTTGACGTATACGCCTCCATGGCATAACTGTCGGGATCTAAACACAACACTTCAGATCCCGCCCGCTGAAGAACATAAAATCCTGAACTGCTGCTCCGGTCAAGGCCACGGGTGTACCCACTAGGTGTGGCAGCACCAGGACGAGCCGGAACACCCCCCCATTCATCCTCCTCACCCTCATCAGCACGACGACCAGTCCTTTCATCGTCATAATGCGACAGTTGTGGGGCCATGCTCATGCTCATGTGTCTATGAAGGCCCATCTTGACCATACCTGTGTGTTTTCCACGGTGATCCAGTCCAGCGCCCATGCCCACAGCAGATCCCATGTTCACAGAACCCCCCATGCCCATTGGAGCACCCATGCCCATTGGAGCACCCATGCCCATTGGAGCACCCATGCCCATTGGAGCACCCTTGTGAATCCCTCTCGCCAAACCCATGGGAGGCCCTCCAGAAGAGTATGGCCGCTGCATTATGCTGACATCATGCAGCCTCATGCTGACACCAGCACCACTCCGCCATCCAGGTTCCGTACCTTCGACCCACACTCCATCCACATCAGCATACAGCCCTTGGTCGAAGCCATCCATGTCATCACCACGACCGGACCAGTAGGGATCATCCACGTCAGAAGCCATGTTCATGCTGCCACACCGCCTCATCATACCCATCCCTGTCATGTGCGGATGACGCATGTTCCCCATCCTTCCTGCATCCCCTCTTCCTCCCATGCCTCCCATGCCTCCCATGCCTCCCATGACTCCAGAAGCATTCGTGCCATGCCTCACCACCACCATACCCATGTTCCCCCCTGAAGTCACTGGTCGTATCACACTCCCACCTCCAATACCTCCTTGCTCTCGCCATCCTCCTCTTCCTCCTCTTTCTCCCCATCCTCGTACCACCCCTACACCTCCTCTCCCTGCTCCTCCACCTCCCCTCTGTGCGTCTTCTGCTGCCACCCGGCCAGCAACCCTGCCCATCCCCTCTATAGACTCCCCCGCCATGCTCATACTGGCTGTGCGGAGCGGCGCTGGCCGCACATGGGGGAGAAGAGGCACTTGTGGGACGTGCTCCAGAGACATCCCAGCCGTTAATTCTTGGGCGTGAGATGCAACGCTGCTGTACGAGCGGCCCAGATGTGCCTGGGCAGCCAGAAGCATGTGTGCGCTTGCCTTGGTATTGTGTGTGCTTGTGCTCTGCACGCCTGTGGCATGCCTGTGGCAGGGTACCGGGCGGGGACCTGACATAGCGTCGGGCAGCAGCTGGGGTCCTAATGGCGACAAGGAACGCCGCCCACCGTTTCTTGCATCACCACCAGTGAGACCACCGTGGTTCACGTTCTCTCGTCCCCTACTCTCCGCGCCACTTGCACCTGCCGTCCTATTCAAGCCACCACCATCCCCACCAAGATCCTTGACTTGGAGTCCTCCCCTCTCCCCAGCCACACCCCCCATGGCCACCCCCTGCGGCCGCCTTGCACTGAGCTCCTGCAGGAAGCTGCGGGCTGCACTGGGCTGGCGAACAATCGGGGTAACGGGGCGTGACAGGGTGATGGGGCGTGAGGGATGGTTGTGGAGGGACGGGGTGATGGGGCGTGAGGGATGGTTGAGGAGGGACGGGGTGATGGGGCGTGAAGGAGGGGCCAGGTGTGGCGGGGTGGAGGGGGGAGTTGAGTTGATGCGCTGAGGTGAGGGATCAGGAGCTGTGGAAGCAAGGGTGGTGGTAGGTGCGGGGGTTGTAGGCCGTGCAGAATCCACAGGGGTTGCTGGAGGACCCATACTCGTTACAGGCAGACTCTCTTTCGTCAATGGAGCAAGAAGCTGCCCCATTACACGTTCCTGGCCCGTGCTTCGTCCCTCCATTCCCTCACTGCGTTCTCTGCTTTCTGCTCTGGTTGCTTCTTCCCTCTCTCCTTCTCCCTCCCCTCCTCCCTCCTCTCCTTCCTCTACTTCTCCCTCCTCCACTTCCCCGTCCTCTCCTCCCTCACTTCTGCTCTCTTCTCCTTCCTCCTCTTCAGAATCCTCTCCTGCTCCATCGCTCCCCCCTCTCATCTCTTCTCCAACCACACACTCCTCCCCACTCACTTCTCCACACTCCTCCCCACATTCATCCCCACACTCCTCCCCACACTCATCATTATGCAAGTGCAAGACCATGCTACCAGCAGGGCTGTAAGTGCCGTCACCGCCATCACTGTCACCGCCACCATCACTGCCACCGCTTTCACTCCTCTCGCTGCTCTCACTGCTGCTCCCAGGTGACCTGCCTCCATACCCTTGGGGACTGCTCATGTACCCAAAGCAGCTGGGCGCCGGGCCTGCCAAGCAGCCTCGGCCAGGCGACGAGCTTCGGCCAGGTGACGAGCCTGGGCTGCAGGCTCGGAAGAACAGGCTTGGGAGGTCCAAGGCTCGGAGGCGAGGGATGGGGCTGCTGTTGCGGGAGCGAGTGGGGGAGTGAGCGGGAGAGAGTGTGGGGGAGCATCCCGGGGAGATGGATGAGGAGGGAGGGAAGAGAGGGGATGGGGTCCGGGGGCGCGAGAGAGAGGAGGACGTGGGGAAGCGACGGGAGGGAGAGCGAGAAGGAGAGAGGGAAGGAGAAAGGGTGCGGAGAGAGGGAGAGCCCAGAGGACTCTTCAAGTTGTTTCTCTGGCTGCTGGCGCGGCCAGTGCTGTAGCTGGCAGGGCGAGCAGGGGAGGAGAGGGGGCTTGGATTGCGGGGGAAGGCACAGCTGGTGAGAGCAGCCAGGGCACCAGCACTGGCGTGCCTGGGGTGGTCGAATCTCCCAGCACGGTTGCTGCTGGGGCTGCCACAGAGGCTGCTGCTGCCACCACCATCACCATCATTACCACCACCAGCAGCAGAAGCGGCGCTGTGGTGAAACTCACTGACAGTACGCCTGTGCCTGGCAGAAGTATTCGTCTTGTAGCTGCCGCTAGGAATGTGCGGCTGTGGCTGGGAATGCAAACCGATGCTGCTCATGCTCCTCCCTTTTTTCCTCCTCGACATGTTACCGCTGCTGCTGCTGCCAGCAACCCCTGCAGCAGAAGAGGAGTGGCTGGATGATGCGGAGGATGAGCTCTGCCTTCTCTGGACCACTCTGCTTGCTGAGCTGGCCGCACACACAGCGGCGGCGGCAGCAGCCGAGGCTGCAGACAGCAAGAACCCAGGCAGCGCGGCAGGGGAGAAGTCTGAAGCACCACCCACGTCATCACCAGAAGCAGTGCTGTTGCTGCTGCCATACTTGCTTCGGAGGGCCACCAGGCTCCTGCTGCGGCCGTGCCTCCCTATACCTCCTTTCCTCCCTCCATCCACCCCTCCCTTGCCTTTCCCCTCCTTCCCTTCTCCCCCATCTCCCCCCTCCTCGTCCCTCACGTCCCCCCGCGCCTCTTCATACCCCACCCCCTCACAGAAGTGAGGATGAGAGGGCGCGTTTGAGTGAGCGAGCGAGGGAGTGTGCAAGTGATTGGCAGAGGGAGTGTGCGAGTGAGTGGCAGAGGGAGTGAGAGGGTGAGTGAGTGAGGGAGTGCATGAGTGCGACCGTTCAACAGTGCTGTGGCTCCTCCAGTGCACTGACCGCCTACCACCACCACCGCCACCACCACCTGGGGGGGGTTGTAGAGGCCCGCTGCGTGCCTTTTGCTGCACCTGCTGTGGCTCCCTTGTCCCCTGCTGTTTCTGCTGCTGCTGCTGCTGCTGCTGCTGCTGCTGCTGCTGCGTCTGGTGATGCTGCTGTAGCTGTAGCTGCGGCCGTGGCTGCTGCTGCTGCTGCTGCTGCTCATTGCATTCATCAAGCTCGCCCCCTATGGAATCCCCGTGCTCGTTTAAGGGGCTTGAAGATGCGTCCTCTGCCACTCTACGCTCCCAGCTACATACAGCGCCTGCTGCTGCTGCTCCCGCAATGCTCCACCCGCGTCGATGCTGCCTGAGGTGCCGCTCACCTGAACCTGAACCTGAACCTGAACCTGAACTCGAACTCGAACCTGAATTGGGACCCAAGCTGGTGACTGACGCGTTTGCAGACAGAGACACGGATTTAGGCAGCACAACAACGCGGCTCCTTGCTGGTTTGCTCTGTGTGTCGCCCCACGTCACTGACTTGGGCACATCGCTGCCAACTCTTCTCCTCGGACCCATACTCCTTCCACCCCTGCTCGGTCCCCCCCCTCCACACTGCAACGCTCTCTGCTCCTCAGCGTCTCTCTGCTCCTCGCCACGCTCCTTAGTATCACTCAGCTCGTCGCTTTCACTGAAGGGGATAGAGCGTGAAACAGCACAGCTGGCTCTGCTTAGATCGCTGCGGCCGGCACCACTGCCACTGGCGCCCTTCCTCTCAGTGGGCCAGCACAGGCCCTTGCTCCCAGGCACGGGAGTGTCTGGAGTCAGCGGCGCCACTGCTGCTGCTGGTGCTGGTGGTGCTGCGGCTTCCACTCGTGCTGCTGGGTCCATTGGCGCTGCTGATGTTGGTCCACGCAGCCCGTTCAACATGCCCCGTGCGGCCGTACTGCTACCATCGGGCCCTCCTTCCCCCGCCGCACCTCCATCGCCCCTGTCAAGACCGGACCTCGTTTCAACGCTCAGCTTTCGCCGCCACACCTGCTGCTGCTGCTGCTGCTGCTGCTCCAGGCGACGGGAGGGGCGCTCGGAGAAGCTTGAAGCGGCAGGGAAGGCTGCTGCTGCCACCGCCACACTCGCTGCCGCGGCAGCAGCAGATGCGCCGAGAAAAAGTGGACCGCTTTTCCCCCTTCCCCCTCTTCGCCTACCGCCCTTCCGCCGGCCACCACAGTTTCTCCCGCCCTCCCGCCCATGTTTCTGCTGCTGCGCAGCCCCCGCACATTCCCTTACCGCTGCATTACCCTCTTCCCCTCGCTCCTCCCCCTTCCCCCCCTCCTCTTCCTCGCCGCTGCTCCCCCACGTGTCAGCCACCAATTGACTCCCGAAAACCGGCATCGCCTCTACTGTTCGCCTGCGCGTTAAAGCGGTATCCCTCCCCCCGTTTCCCGCCGCATTTCCCGTCCTGACTTCCCCTGTACTATCCGCTGTTGTAGCGATTGCGATAGTATCCGCCGCTCGTTCGCTGAAGGAACCCCAGCCGGGCGCGTAGGTCTCCGCAAAAATGCGGGTGGCAGGGGCATTGGCGCGCAAAGGGGGAGCGGAGGACTTGCGGAGCAGCGTTGGCTGCGCGCCTGCAGTAGGGGGAAACGCAAGGCCCGCAGGGGAAAATGCGGGATTTTCCGCCTCCGCGGAGGCTTCGGGATGCGCGGAGGGTGCACCGTGGGGAGCGGAGGAGCGGTGGAGGAATCGGCGGGCGGAAGGAGCGGAAGGAGCGGAAGGATATAGGAACGTAGGACCGGAGCTCGACTTTGGAAGGACGCTCTTATTGCTACGGGCATGGAGGGAGTCTCCCTGGTGCGAACTAGACAGTGGGAAAGGCTGCGTAAAAGGGCGAGCGGGGACAAAGTAAACGTCCCCTCCAGACTGCCCTCTGAAAACCCCCCTCTCCTCTTCCCCCCCCTCTCTCTCCATCCCCTCCCCGACTTCGATTGCCTCCTCCTCCTCCTCCTCCTCCTCCTCCTCCTCTTCCCCCTCCAATCCCTCCTCACCCACCACGTAGTACCAATCGGACGGGTCACTTCGCCGCCTAAGCAATCCACGAGGCTGCAGACGAACCGCGCTTGGTTCGTTACGATCCAATCCCCGCCTTACCGGCCCTCCCTCCTGACACACACTGTCTCCCCAACCTTCGCAGTTGTCACATTCGGCTTCTACTATCGAAACCGCCGACATTCGCGAACCGTCGTGGGTGCGCATCATCATCATCGCTCGACCGGTCGTGTTCTCCCCCCATGCCTCGCCCGTAAGCTCATCGTCCGGATACGCATGAGGCTCTCGGACCAAGGAACAGGTCTCGATATCGAAGGATTCGGTATTAGAATAAACAAAAGCGCCCTCTGTTGGAAAAGAGACCAAGTCAGCATCGTCGTCGGCCGTCCAACGGTCAACTAGCGCCATACGCTGAAGTTCCAACGGCTACAATCGTCTAGCTTGCTTTGCAAAAACGTTTACGTTGAAATATCCGCGACAGATTCAACTGCGTGCGACAGATGCGTGCGACAGCCACGAATGCTGACGTACGCCGCGCTTACCGCTCGTTACTGTGACGGGTGTTCAGAGACCCGCTGGATAAGCTTAGGTAAGATATCCGGATGAGCGTAACGGCGCTGTAAGGAAAACTGGGGCAGTAATCGGGTGTGCATATAATTCCCGGGGACGACGTGATACTGCTGTGCACGTATCTACCCAGTCCTGGCTGTCGCACTTATGACGACACTTGGACGAAAAAATTGCCGTTTTCGCTGTGCTCTTCTAACTGGCCTCTGGAACGAGGAGCTAGGGCAAGCCACCGCAGTTGTTTTTGTGAAATGCCATTTCCTGGTCGTGCATTGGAGGATGGAGTTGACCTGACGTGGTCGAATGGAGGCGAGATGCGGAAGCTGGCAGCAGCTCACGACAGCCGTGTAATGAGCTGTTGGGGAGAGAAGCGACAACAGGAGAACAGCGAGTTTCTGCTGCTGCGTTTCGCGGAAGAATGGCGTTTGTCAAGAGCATAGACGATGGAGGAGAAAGGTGCCTACACTGCCCACACCTTAGAAAATGTTTTGAATTACGGGTCAAACTACCCACCAGATACTGTACGCGTGGCCAATTGTTCATAGAGCCAATTCTTTCCTATATTTTCGGTACTCAAAATGCTTGAATGCCCGACTACTTTCCGATCGGCAGAGCCGAAATGTGTCCGGGTAGAAATTCCTGAGTGATGTACGCCGGATTCGAGGGGAAACAGGAAACCAAAATGCGGATGAACAAAGATGGTGTGCCGAGGCCAGAATCCCCCAAGAAGAGTGCTTGAACCAAGCAAGGCAATCAATGTGGCTGACGTCAGGGAAGCCTTGGTTCGGCCCAAACCCCACAGTTACTCGCGATAAGAAACCTACAAGCAAACCAGGTACACCTAGCTACGTAACCAGCCAACTACTGATGAAAATATCAATGACTATCCTCTCCAAGGTCAGCTATACAATTGCTTGTAAACCTTCATCCCCACCACAACAGAAGCCAGCCACACAATAATGGGCACCTGCAAAACAACATGTCAAACTCCATTGTTAATCCACTCACCCAGTGCCTATACATACATTCAAACAAAAATTGAATTGCTCCCCTTCCCCATTTTCATACCTTGCCAGTGACAGCACTAACAAGGGCCGGAGCTGGGCAAAAACCAGCCAGCCCCCACCCTGAAAATACAGAGAGATGAAAACAAGAGTATAAGTCAAGCATATGAACGCAAAAAGCAACAAGCATGAAAGAAAAAAACGCTGCTCACGTACCCAGTCCAAAGATTGCCGACCCAATGACCAGCTCTTTTGTGATGTCTTTCCGAGTGGGGAGCGAGAAGGATGGGGCCAATAGGGGATGCCGTTGCTTGAGCACAAAGTGGAATGTGACTATATTGAAGAGCACCGCTCCGCCCATCACGAACGCAAGGCTGGGGTCCCACCCATGGATGGGGTCCAGAAAGGCTTTCACCTTGGCTGGGTTGAGCCTGATTCGAGGAAGGAAACATGGAGAGATTGCAGAGGGGGAGGTGAGGGGAATGAGATTGCGCCATGGATGGGGTCAAGAAATGCCTCCACCTTGGCTGGGTTGAGCCAGATGGGAGGAGGAAACGCAGGGTGAGTAGAGAAGGAAGGTACAGCGAGGTAAAGAGAGAGAGAGGGCAGGAGGAAAAGAGAGAGAGGGCAGGAAGAAAAGAGAGAGGGCAGGAGGAAAAGAAAGAGAGGGCAGGAGGAAAATATAGAGAGGGCAGGAGGAAAAGAGAGAGAGGGCAGGAGGAAAAGAGAGAAAGGGCAGGAGGAAAAGATAGAGAGGGCAGGAGGAAGAGAGAGAAAGAGAGAGAGAGAGAGAGAGAGAGAGAGAGAGAGAGAGAGAGAGAGAGAGAGAGAGAGAGAGAGAGAGAGAGAGAGAGAGAGGACAGGAGGAAAAGAATGATAGAGGGCAGGAGGAAAAGGATGATAGAGGGCAGGAGGAAAAGAATGATAGAGGGCAGGAGGAAAAGAATGATAGAGGGCAGGAGGAAAAGAATGATAGAGGGCAGGAGTAAAAGAATGATAGAGGGCAGGAGGAAAAGAATGATAGAGGGCAGGAGGAAAAGCATGATAGAGGGCAGGAGGAAAAGAATGATAGAGGGCAGGAGGAAAGAATGACAGAGGGCAGGAGGAAAACTGCGCACTACATTCCCATAAGCACATTAAAGTCGTTCTAATGAGGCTCAACAAGAATCTGTTGGGTTTGATACTGAAAGTGAGGCCAGCAGCAAAGATTGCCCCTGAGAGCACGGAATCGAGCAGCAGCAGTAGAGGCGCTGCTCCTGGTGCTTCTGCCTCGGGTGCCTGATAGAGTCAACACGGTACCACAGGCTTAACAAAACACTATTGAGTGAACTCACATGCCACTGAAAGTGAGGCCAGCAGCAAAGACTGCCCCTGAGAGCACGGAAGCAAGCAGCAGCAGTAGAGGCGCTGCTCCTGGCGCTGCTGCCTTGGGCGCCTGATGGGGGGAAGAAAGAAAAAGAAAGAACGAGAAAAGTGAACGTGTGAGGGAAATGTAGGAGGGCATAAGAGCATAACAAAGCAAAGGGGTGAGGGCATGCAAGATGAGATGACACAGCTGACCTCGTCCTTTGTGGCTGAAGGGTGTTTTTGAGAATTCTCAAAAACACCCTGCAAGATGACACAGCTGACCTCGTCCTTTGTGGCTGAAGGGGGGGCGGGAGACGCGGCGATGCCCCTGACGAGGAGAAGCAGCAGCGTGGCCGCACTCACTGCGGGAGGGAGGGCGGATGGAGGGAAGACGGCGTGGCTAGAAGCGACAAGCAGGAGACGATGACAAGGCAATGATCCTCAGGAGGAGGCAATGGTCACAATCACTGCGAGATGGATGCGAGAAGAGGGAGAGAGTGAACGTGTTCCTCAGAAGGAGGCCACAAATGCACCCCGGAGAGCCAGCCCAGCCCAACCCAACCCAACCCAACCCAACCCAACTATGGACACTCTTTCCAATGCCCACAGCGACTGATTGAATGTGCAGTCACTTCCGAATGCGCAGGAACCATCTAAGCATCCAAAAAAAAAATTGGTGCAGACACAATTTGGTGCATGTACCATCAGGTGCAGACACCACCAGGTGCAGGCTTTACCTGTGAGGGCAACCACCCAGGCGTTAGCAGGCGGGGCAACAGGGGCGGCAGAGGCGACAGGTGGCAGCAGCGCATTGGAGAGGATGGAGGCAACGGCGCCCGTGGTCATGAATGTGCAGACGGCCACAAAGCTGCGGATTGAAAAGCGAGGCAAGCCGCACACACCGTGGCCAGACGTGCACCCGCTGCCCAACTGTATCGAGGGGATCAGGAGGCGGAGGGAGGAAGGAACGGTGGCACTGGGAGCGAAGCAGAGAGCCATAGCGGTGTGTGTATGTGTGTGCACTGTGCAGTGGCGCGGAGGGAGGGGTTGCAAGGACAGGGGGAGACGGGAGGGGGAAAGGGGGAGGGGGGGTGTAGATCGACATGGAGATGCCAGCTGGCAGCCAGGTCATCAGCAGCAGGGGGTGGATCCAGCCTCTGTGGTTGGTGGCAAAGGTGAGCTCAACCAATCAAGTGTTGGAGATTGACCACGCAGCTGCAAGTGCTGAAAGCGGAGGGCTGGAGATTAGGAAATGCCTGCTCTGGTCCCCACCAGAGAGCTGAAGCCGGCCAGCACACCAGCAGCAGCAGGGAGGAAGAGTGATGAGCTGGGGTCTTGGGCGGGCGAGGGGAAGGTGAGAGCACTGATAGGGGAGCGCGGGAGGTTTGCACTCGCAGATCACCGATCTGAATCCCTTCCCACCTGAGAGCCGAAGCCCGCGAGCACGCCGGCGACAGCAGGGAGCAGGAGCGACGAGACGGGGTCCTGGGCGGGCGAGGGGAAGGTGGGCGCGCCGAACGCGGCGGGCAGGAGGAGATGCGCGGCGCAGCCGACTGCCAGCATGGACGCGAGAAACGCGACGCGGACCGGCCAATCAGGTGCGCCGGAAATAGCACCTGGTGGAAGGGCGAAGGAGGGTGGGGGGGAAGGGGGAAGGAAGGGGGAAGGAAGGGGGGAGGAAGGGGGAAGGAAGGGGGAAGGAAGGGGAAGGAAGGGGGGTTGAGGAGCTTTGGTAGGAGTGAGGAAAGGAGGGCGGAGGGAGATGCGCGGCACGGAGCCGACTGTTGGAATGGAAGCGCGGAACGCGGCGCGGGCGGGTCAATCAGTAGCGCCGGCTGTAGCGCCGGGTAGGGGGGGAGAGGGGGAGAAGTGGTCGGACCAGTGAGTTACACCATGTGGTTATGACGAGACAGACCATGACGATATACCATCTGCATGACACACCGTTGTCTATTGCCGACGCGCCCATGATGCGCCCCGACAGCAGCTCAGAACGAAACCACCGACAATCAATCAATCAATCAATCAATTCAATCAATCAATCAATCAATCAATCAATCAATTCAATCAATCAATCAAATCAATCAATCAATCAATCAATCAATCAATTCAATCAATCAATCAATCAATCAATCAATCAATTCAATCAATCAATCAAATCAATCAATCAATCAATCAATCAATCAATCAATCAATCAATCAAATCAATCAATCAATCAATCAATCAATCAATCAATCAATCAATCAATCAATCAATCAATCAATCAATCAATCAATCAATCAATCAATCAATCAATCAATCAATCAATCAATCAATCAATCAATCAATCAATCAATTCAATCAATCAATCAATCAATTCAATCAATTCAATCAAATCAATCAATCAATTCAATCAAATCAATCAATCAATCGGCTACACACGGACTTAAAAAGACACCAACACGCACCGTTGATGATTCCCGACGCGCCCATGATGCGCCCCGACAGCAGCAGGTGCAGCGTCGCCGCCACGCCGATCAAGACGCCGCCGAATAGCGAGCTCCACGGCGTGAAAACCGGCGCCCCGGCCGCTGCCGCCATCGCTCGGAAGCTAGTCGGCGACGCTACGGCCGGCACTGCTACGGCCTGCGCGGTGGACGCGGCGAAAGTTGCGCCGGAAGATACGGACGCGAAAGCGCCGGATGGAAGATTTTGCGAGCTTTCTGGAGCTGAGGGATTCACCACAGGCTGGACCGGGGAGGAGGGGGATCCAGAGCCGGGAAAGCCGGCGGGAGTGCCGGCGGGAATGGCGGCGGTGGACGCGGGAAAAGATCCTGCGCGAACTGCCAAGGGAGCACGGCGACACCCCGAACGACTGCTAGGAAGGAAACACGCCGGAGGAAAGCACGCCCTCCCTAACCCTAGTAATGTCTGCCCTAATGCCAGACTCGGCTCCAAACCGAAAGTGGATTGCCGCCACGCAAGCGCACGGGGGGGGCGCGAAGTAGCCGCTCCTGCTGCTAGTGCGTGTGTCTGGAGCAGGGCCCGCATGGCAGGACGCTAGCAGCAGCTGACGAAGAGTGCTGGTGAGAATAATGAGGGGCGGATTGCGGGAGCTCATGTTGCATCACATGTGCTGTGCTTCTTGTTCCTGTGCTTGCTTGCATGTGTGTTGCGCATGTTGGGTTCGACTCGACAGATACCCCCCCCCCCCCCCCCCCCCCCCCACGAGGGGCGGAGTGGGGGTGGGGGTGGTGCGTCGTGCGTCCTCCGCTCTCTTGTGACCACCGTCCACTTCTCTCGATTTTCGCCAATCGAAACTGGCACGTACTACCACTCCGATAATGTCACATCCATGGAGTGGTACTTTAGAGAGTGGACGTGCCGGTTTCGATGGAAGTTTCGCGCGCAAGGGAAGATTCTCCGGTGGGATCTGCGATATGTCTCCTCGTAACGCTCGCCAGGAACCTCGTTTCGATATGAGAATCTGCATGATTGGAAACACATGTGTAAATGTTAATCTTCGGACGCGGTGCTTTTGGGAGAAAACAATAATTTTAAACCTCGGGTTTATAGATGGGTGGCTGATGGCTTAGACGTACATAGAACGTTTCTGTGTGGTATAGAGTGTTATTCTTGCTCGTTCGTGTTCCAAACCATGTTCAAGCCCAAAAGCACTGCATCCTTACACAAATGCAACACCACCCCACTTTCACATTTCACGTACGTTTCGTAAACGCCTTACCTATGGTGAGCAATGACTCAACTGATAAACTAAATGTTGATGAATTCAATACTACCAAGCCCTAATAAACCGTGTGCCACCCCTCTGTCAAACATGTGTATCTCATCTACTTTGTATAGACTGTATAGGGCCAGCCCTTAGAGGGTACAACACTTAGATATATTCCTTGTACTCTCACTCTCTATATATTTTTATTCAGTTCTAAGATGGTATCAGCAGTAGGTAGGTCCCGCCGCCCGCCCACGCTTCCGCTCTAGGACCTAGCCGCCCCCCCGCGCCCGTCCTCGTCGATCGCCCTAGCTGCCCGTCCTAGCCGCGCCGCGCGGCCCGTCCTAGTGCGCCCGCGCGCCGTCCTAGCCGGCCCCTACGCCCGTCCTCTCGGCCCCGCGCCCGTCCTAAGCCGGCCCCCGTGCCCGTCCTCTCGCCCCCGCGACCGTCCTAGCTGGCCCCCGCGCCCGTCCCTAACGGCCCCCGCGCCCGTCCTAGCCGGCCCCGCGCCCGCCCTAGCTGGCCCCCGCGGCCCGTCCCTAGCCGGCCACGCGCCCGTCCTACCGGCCCTCGCGCCCGTCCTCCCAGCCCCCGCGCCCGTCCTAGCCGGTCCCGCGCCCGTCCTAGCTGCCCCCCCCCCCCCCCCGCGCCCGCCCTATCGGCCCCCGCGCCCCGTCCTAGCTGGCCTCACGCCTGTCCTAGCTGGCCCCTGCGCACGTCCTAGCCGGCCCCCGCGCCCGTCCGAGTCGGCCCCGCGCCAGTACTACCGGCCCCAGCGCCCGTCCCCAGCCCGCCCGCGCCCGTCCCAGCCGGCCCGCCCCCGTCCCCTGCCGACTCGCGCCCGTCCCAGCAGGCCCCGCTCCCGTCCCAGCCGACTTGCCGCCCGTCCCAGCTGATCGCGCTCATCCCAGCCGGCCCCGCGCCCGTCCCAGCGACCCGCGCCCGTCCCAGCAGGCCCGCGCCCGTCCCGGCCGACCCGCGCCCGTCCCAGTCTGTGAGAGTACGACTCCGTTACACCACTTGGCCTTTTTCATATTTCATCTTCATTTCATTCCTCTTTTTTATCTCATCTCCTTTTGCCTCATATTCCCCATTTTCCATTATCCTTTGGTTTCTTCCTTTCATTATTATTATATCACCGACCAGGCATGGAATGTTCTAGACACGCTATCTAGCGTAATCCTGCCGTAATCCCTTAAAGCCAATAGCCTCGCGTGGCTATACGCAGGGGTGATTCTATCTTCTAGAAGGGTCTATTCCCTTAGGATAAGATAAACCTGGTTACCTGATGTACTCTGGAAGTATAAAAGCGCCTTGTACTGATCGATAGTGCAACCTTTCCTCGACACATTCGATTCCTGTGACACTTGGTAATCAGAGCTTTTCTCACTCGACCGCGCTCAGCTAAGCAGCAGCAGCGGGGATCCTGCCTCGAAACACCGCCGGGGGCGACCAATTCGACGCCGATTCTGGTAAGCACCAGCTCCGCGATTTTCGAATTACCCCCTCCGTGCGTGTTTTGAACAGGATGGCAACCTTCGACAACGCCGAGGTTACCCAGCAGCTCTTCGCGCGCATCGCAGCCCTTCAGGAGGAAATGCGAGCGGATCGCGAAGCGTGGCGAAACCAGTTCGAGCGAGTAACTCGACTCGCCGGGAGCGCAGCACGAGACGACAACGGCGACGACGCAGCAGTCGCAGCAGTTTCTCGAGGCTCCGAAACCGCGCCCACCTGAGCCGTTCGATCCGAGCGATCGAAACTCCGACGCCCGCCAGATGGGATCGCCGGGATGGAGATCTACTTCGCAGCCGTCGGATGGAGCTCGCCAGTCTGGGACGGTCAACGTGTACGACTCGCGGCGACACTGATGCGAGGGCCGGCACTCGAGTGGATTGGCGGCAACAGTACTTTCATCCACGGTGAAGCCACGTGGCAGCAGTTCCGCGCCGACCTGCTGAAACGATTCGAGCCGATAAATTCGAGTTTCCTTGCCCGAAAAAATTCATCGCATCGACAGTTCGGGAGTGTAGCACAGTACACGCAGCAGATGGAAGAATTTTATAACCGCATTCCCGACCTGACCGAAGGGGAAAAAGTGCAATCGTACCTCGCCGGGCTGAAGACCGAAGTCAAACGACAAGTCGCAGCGTCAAACTACGCGAGCTACAGTGACGTCGTTTCGGCCGCGGAGCGCTTCGACATGGTCAACGCCGGAACACGACGGACGCACGTCGCGACAGGGCGCCGCTCGGCTCACACCACGTTCGCCGACCCGATGGAAGTCGACAGATTCGAGGGGCGGCCACGTCCGAAAAACACCAACTACACGTGTGATTTTTGCGGGGTGCCGGGCCACCGAATCTTCGACTGCAACAAAATGAAGGCCGCACGCGCAGAGTATCGGGCACGCAACAGTGGCGGAAATCTTTCGGCCAATCAGAAGACAAAAAACGGGAGTCGCCAGTGATTGCGGATCTAGCTGGCGAAAATAAAAAGATCCGAAAGCGCCGCGGGATTCCGGAAAATCAACTTCGACGAAGCTGATTCGACGCGAGAAGGAGGAAATGATGGGGGAAAATCTCCACCCCACGACCAGTCTTCGCCAGGGAAAATCGCCGAGGAAAAATACGACTCCGCGAAAAAAGACTCTGCCGAGACAGGGAAACTCCTTGAAGACCCAAGAAATTATAAGAATTCGTTAAAGTTATCTTATAAAGATGCTTTAATGAAAACTTATGATTTCGAGGGCTAGAGCCTTGGAGAAATTTCGGGAGGGACTCCAAAAGAAGCAGACAGCTGTGGAGATTATACCGGTACCGGACAACTTGGGGACCAAATTAAGGAGTGTGGAAAGAAGCCGACCTTTCCACGGAGTCAACGTCCTCTCCCGACACCCAGCCCACAACGACTACCCGCTCCCCAGGGAAGACGTCGGTGGAGCTGAAGCAGCTCAAGAGGAAGCTGGGGGTCTACAAGAAGCTGCACAAACCCCGAACTCCTTCTACGGATGCATCCAGTTCTTCGGCATCAGTGACGCGCACAGTCGTCAAGGAAACTCCGGGCCCTGGAGAAGAGCCGTTCTCCAAGCAGCCTCGGCCAGCTGCCAGCTCAGGAGTAGACAACAACACAAAGGTGTGTACGGAATATTGGGATGTACCCTATGACCCAATCAATGAAACTATCTTTGGGTACTCCGAGCAACGACTGCCCCTCGTGCTCGAGGTCATCTGCAAAGGACGACGCCTCCAAGCACTCGTGGACAGCGGAGCGTCACACACCGTCTGCGACAAGGCAATGATCGACCGACTCGGGAAGAGTACAAGCCTTCAGGATTCTCTGCAACGATGGTGGACGGCAGCAAGTTACCAGTACACGGCGAAGCAGTGCTACATCTACAAATCGGACCACTGCGCTGGAGACCTGCACTCCCATCACCAACATCAAAGGGTCCGCTTGACTCGACGAGGACTTGATCTTCGGGCGAGACTTCCTGAAAAATTCAACCCCGAGATCAACTGGGTGAACCGCACCGCAAGCATCTACAACAATGGACGGAGAGTACAGCTACCCAACTGGGACGATACTGGAGATATCCCAGTGGAGACACTCGCACGATTCGAGAAGGACGTGAAGCGGACCGACACCGGGTTCCTGGCGATAGCAACAGAGGTGGAGAATGACGGAGAGAAAGCCTCGGAAACTCCAGAAAAAATCAAGGAATTACTGAAGGAGTTCCAAGACATTCTTCCTGACGATCTTCCGAACGAGCTACCGCCATACCCGAACGCATCAACACGAGATCGTGGAGGAACCGGGTTCGAAGCCGACCTTCCGAGCACCATACCGGCTCAGCCCTACGGAGCTGACCGACATGAAAAAAGATCGAGTATCTCCTAGCCAAAGGACTCATCCGACCATCCACTTCGCCATACGGTGCCCCAGTACTCTTCACACCGAAACCGGACGGAAGCCTGCGCATGTGCATCGACTACCGAGCTCTTAACAAGCAGACCATCAAGAATAAATATCCGATACCGCACGAATCGATGACCTGCTTGACCAGCTTCGGGGAGCTACGGTATTTTCCAAACTGGATCTGCGGTCCGGATACTGGCAGATACGGATGGCGGACAACTCTATCCACAAAACTGCTTTTCGAACTCGGTACGGATCGTACGAGTATTTGGTCATGCCGTTCGGACTCACCAACGCGCCGGCAACGTTCCAAGCCGAAATGAACCACATTCTACGACCACTTTGGACGAATGCGTGGTGGTGTACCTGGACGACATACTCATCTACTCGCGGCGACATGAAGCAGCACGTCGAACACCTGCGACGCGTCCTTCGAAATTCTTCGACGAGAACGA